TGTTAGATATTCAGTCATAGCAAGACTGAGCCATACTTAGTAGTTATTAATTAAAATTTTATATTGGACTGATTACATGTGCTATTTCATATTTAAAATAACTGCAAATTACATTTAGAAGAATCCTTTAATATAACAATTTTATGTTTGGAAATCCCCTTGAGATTTCTTTAATTGACTCAAATAGGAGTCAGATATAAACATACATAGAACAAATCGTATTGTACTGTGCTTAAAACTTTTTTTTTCTTTTCGCATGATCATACTACGTCTCTATAACAAATAAAATTAGGGCCTCATTCTCCCCCTCCTCATTAAGAGTCACATCCTGTTCCACTGAAGGCAATGGGAGCTTTACCACTGATGTCAATGGGTGCAGAGGCAGAATCAAGTCCTAAACCCATTTTATACTGGTGTAATTCCACGGCAATCAACAGAATTACAGTGATGTAAAACAAGATTAACAAAGTGAAAAAATTAAGATCCAAGTGTTTTCAAACCAGGTGAGATCTTATGACTGATTATCAGTCAGCTTGCCAAACATTTACTATTTAAAGGAGAAACACATTAAAGCGTCATCCATCAGTATGTTTCAAATATAAATTCTTTTTCAAGAGGTTATGAACATGTGACCCAGGATGAAATCTAGGTCCAAATGAAGCATTAAGTTGGCACAACTCTATTGTGGTCAATACAGAATCATATTTTACACTTAGGTGGAATTTAGCTCTTGGCACTCCAGATCTCAACCCGGTAGTGTCTTTTACATTTTTAAACAAATTTTTCAAATAAATTTTCTTTAGGTTTCAGTAGTACAAGACAATTGTTTTGAAGAAACCCATTTAAGGTTCTTAAATTGATTTTAATTTGTTTTTAAAATGAATGTGGTAGGCAGTCCATAATCTAATCACTGGTCAGGGCCGGCTCCAGCGTTTTTGCCGCCCCAAGCAGCGAAAAAGGAAAAAAAGCCATGATCGGCGGCACTTTGGCGGTAGCCGCTTCATTCTTCGGCGGCAATTCGGCAGCAGGTCCTTCCCTCCGAGAGGGGCCGCCCCAAGCACCTGCTTGCTACGCTGGTGCCTGGAGCTGGCCCTGCCATCGGTCCCTTTTTCTTTTAAAGGAATTTAAAATAACTATTGTCAAGATTCTTAACTATGCATATATAATTACATATTTACATGAGAAACCGTTATTGTCTACCAAGAAAGTATTATTTAATAATTCCATACATTACCAGAAGAACCTAACACTTCCTGGAGTAAACAGGATATTTTAAAAACTGTCTAAATATGCACTTAGAATGATTGCTAGGTTATATACAGTTTAAAATCTAGGCTTAATAACAAACACCATTGAACTATAAGGGCTATCACCCCATCAAGAGTTCTGGAAACCTCATAAGCCACAAGAGCGCAGCACGAGTGTCTTGTGCAGTCACTAGAACATAGAAATGGAATTATAGCTTTCTAATTCAATGCTTTCTTGGTTATCATTTTGCATAGTATGCGATCAGATGATTCACTGGCAGTTTTTCTCTATACTGCTGCTAGCATGAAGTCACATTGGCTGTAGTGGCCTTCCAACAAGTGAATGGCCTAGCAGTCTACCTGGGGTCACAAAATATCTACTCTCACTGCAGAGCCTCCTGATTCATAGGTGCAACATCACTCCAGTAAATTATTAGGGTTGTGTGCTATGAGGAAGGTTGTGGCTGCCTTTAAATTATGATCTTCTACACCCTCAAGTTTCATCCTGCATGTGCCATTGTATCATATACTCAAAAGCTATGTAATACCTAAAGAATAAGAGGGCAAGATTAAGTGTCAGTCTTAACTCTGAAATTCTTTGTTTTTGTTGACTTGTGGCTTTAGGGTGGTGGCTGTAATAACAATGTTGATTAGTTTTGGGATGTTCACTTTTTCTTTTTATATTGTTAAATTAACACACAAATGATACCCCAAAGAAACATGAATTTACAGTCTACCTTGTCGACTCATCTTTTAGCTAATCTGATTATTTGTGTAAATATGTGTAAGAACTTCATACAGAGTGAGTAAATATGTATTTAAAGGGTATCCAATAGCATGGATAGTACTATTAATACACTACAAGGGAGGCAAGGTGGGAAACAGACAAGCAAGAGAACCTTTAATTTTCCTTTTCCAATATCTTTCAGTTCCCCTTCAAGCTATGATTTTTTCAAGGATGAAAGCCTATGTCCCACCATTTCTCAGTTCCTGTAATCCTGTCACAATCCAGCATTTGTAACATTACAATTAACTTTCAGAGCTTCCTCCTGCAAACTTACTCAAGAAAATGATCCTATTAGCAATAGGCATACTTGTGTGAGTGAAGGGTTTGCTGATTTAGGGCCTTTATTGGTAACTGTGATGTCACAAATATTAGAGATTATGTAAAAGACATGACAAGATAGAGTGTAGAGGAGGGAGCTTTTATTTATACACAAAGAACCTGATCTTCCTTCCAATAAAGTCAATGGTAATTTTGCCCAAATTTGGTATTTTTAAGCCCCCTAGTCATAGGTGCTGGAACTAGGGGTTTTGGGGGATCCAGTAGGCCCCCCCCCCGGCTTGAAGTGGTTTTCATCATAAACAGGGTTTACAGTTTGGTACAACGGGTCCCAGCACCCCCACTATACAAATTGTTCCAGCACTCCTGCCCCTAGTGATCAAACAGAAAACACAACATGATGCCAACACAACTGGACTAATTGCAAGAATAAAAGGTTGTAGGATCAGTGTGAGAGTAACAAAACAAATGGGGGGGGGGAACCTTACAGAAACAGTTTGAGGGATTATAAACAGTCAATTTTTAAAATTTTGTTTTATGAAAACATACCTTGACAATGTCATTATTAATTATTATTATTATGTATTCTCTTGTATGAAAAAAGACTAGAAATCCTTCATTTGGGCTCAAAACTGCAAATGCACATATGTAACTTGATTCACAAGTGTTTTTTGCAAGTCTGAGCACTTTGTCTGGTAAAAGATAGTATGCAAAACTAAGATTATGGGCCAAATACTGCACTCATCTCTCAGCCAAAACTCTGATTTTAAAGAGAGTTTTTCATGAGTAAGGATTACAGGATTTGACTTAGTATGATTAAATTCAGTGTGTTTAAATAGAGACACATGCAGAAATTGTAAGTATAAAGACTTTTAATATAGGTAGTTGTTGAGTTTGGAGAAGACCGAGTTTCAAAATAAGTATGTACAGGTAATGTAGAGAAACAAAACATTCTGCAACTAGCAAAACACAGGTGTGTGTGATTTTTTTTTTAATTATTAGAATTGGATTGTCACTCATAGTTCATATACTTCTACATGAGGCTCATTTGTGGTTGTGTGTACATATTTTCACAAAATGGATTTTGTATCCTATAGATGTTGATTTATTACAAGCTTTAGCTTATGATGTAAGTTAAAATTTAAAAAACTTTTTAAAGAAAAATTTCACACCCCATACATGAACTTACACATAACTAATCAGCATCCAGACGTACAGTTAAGTATGTCCCCATTTATGAAATCAGATCCACAAAGGTGGACTCCTCTGCTGATCTGTAGCCTGGCTGGGGCTCAGGATCACCGCATGAGTGGATCCCTGTGAATCCGATTGCCAGACTGGGGCCCATGCCAATAACTTTACTCAAGTGCTTAAACATTTTTAGGCTCCAGCCCGGAGTGAGAATCACTGTTCATAAAACACCAGCAGTAAAATACCCTATTATCAAAATGGGCTATATGAATTACTGGTCATTTAAAGTTATTGATTCTGCAAAAGAAAAAAATAAATCTTGAACTCTTTAGGGCAAAAGAGCTTTAACACATTGTGGATTATATTGCAATAGAGTGTTATGTGCATAAGCATACATATAAACAGACTTGCCATAAATTGGGTTAACAGTTGTCATATTGGGGTATGTATACCCCACAACCATTAACTTTTCATGGATTTATCACACAAAAAAACAAAAGCAAAACCCAAAACAATGCAAGAGTCATAAGCTTAGTTGAAAAAAGTGAACACTCATGGCACAAAATATTTTAATTAATGCTCTACTGTTTTCCATGTGAAACTACAAGCAGTTAAACTAATATCCTTAATGATACCATAAAAGTTTTTTGAATTTTTTTGTTTTATTTAACCCTCCTCCCCCCCATACACACACACACATTCTTCTGTAGTGGGGCATGTGTAAACATATCCTGGAGAAAACTTGCTTAGTAGCAGCCTGATCAAAGTAAAAGACCCTGACAGTTTGGGAGTAGTATATAGAGGACTATATTATCATTATCCTGGGTATGCTGAGTTCTCCTATATTGTTTAGAAAGGAAGAATAATGCAAGTATGCTATACATCAGTGGCTCTCAACCTTTCCAGACTACTGTACCCCTTTCAGGAGTCTGACTTGTCTTGTGTACAGTGTACCTCTAAGTTTCACTTCACTTAAAAACTACTTGCTTACAAAATCAGACACAAAAATACAAAAGTGTCGCAGCACACTATCACTGAAAAATTGCTTAGTCATTTTTACCATAGAATTATAAAATAAATTGATTGGAATATAAATATTGTACTCGCAATTCAGTGTATAGTAGGAGTATAAACCCATCATTGTCTGTATGCAATTTTAGTTTGTATTGACTCTGCTAGTGCTTTTTATGTAGTCTGTTGTAAAGCTAGGCAAACATCTAGATTGAGTGGATGTATCCCTGGAAGACTTCTACAGTACCCCTAGGGGTAAGTGTACCCCTGACTGAGAACCAGTCAGCTTTATATTGATGTGTGTTTCTGAAGAGTGACCTTTACTGTGCCAGCTGCCCTCTCCCCCGAGG